GCAAAACTATATATATGTTAATAATAAGGAAATGGAAAAATAGCTTAAGTATATCAATTATATAGAGGATATTTGTTTGTCCAGTGTAAGATCGGAGTATATTTCACCGAGTGAGCAACAAAAGGTATATTTCACGAGTGGCGCTCACAAGTGACGTTCACAAGGTGAAATATATTTCGATCTTACACTCAACTAAAAATTGTTTTTCTTTTTTATGTAAAGAAACGTAAAAAGACATTTAACCTAATACTAAATAAAAAGCGCGAAAATAATAATACAACGTGACGTCATATGCGACGTCACGTCATTATGTTGGTTTCAGTGCTGTGCACGCTTGTATTTCACTGAAACAACTTAAAAGGGCTTAAATTCAAAACAGTGAAATTATCAAATTTATAATTTCACTGTTTTACACAGTGAAATTATTAGTTTTATATCACTGATATATTTCTATAAACCACCAAAAAGCCTGTAATAAAGTGTTTTATCTGGCAAAATATCCTAATTTACCCATTGCCATTGGTAGGCAATGTTTGAAATGTGGCAAAACTTGTATACGTAGCGTTATTGGAAAATACTTACTTGTTTACTTATTATATAATGAATACTAAATAACTTTATATTTAAATTCAAAATTAAAGTCTGACAGAGCGCTCTCGATAATGCCTTATTACAAACAGCATCACACTGACAAGTATTTACAAACACTCACCGTCATGACACACCTTTTTATTATAGATAACTTAACCTCTGTTAAAGTACATGTGGTTAGTCACGCACTTTCTATGTATAGAAAAAAATTGTATATTCTAAACGATAAATAAGATAATAACACAAAGGATTTCATCTGGATTTGGTAACCTGAATGTGTGTTCGTAGGCGGTGTCCGATCATGTATAAATAAATCAGACTGCGTAGTAAATGGGTCCTTTGACCGGGCTTTGGTTTGAGAAACAGCACAAAGATTTTCACATTGTATTGAAGATTAAATATAAGCAATTATAGAGGTCAGCTGTTTTGAACAAATGGGCAGTAATTGACAATGCTGAATTGCGCTTGATTGTTGTTGCTTTAATACGAGCATCGATAGCGGCACGTTTTATCGCTTCCATGAAACTGCCGATAGCGGCGTTCGTTGTCGATTGTACGTAAGTGGGAATGGTTTAATTACATGCATGACACCACTGACATGTAATCTAACTATGCAGGAATAACCGTGCAATATTTGCCAAATATATCCGAATATGGTTTATCTTACAGTTGAGCAGCAAAAACAAAATGAAACATGTTTGTTTCGTTTATACTTTTATTGCTTTATAATATTTGCTTTCTTTTTAATTTAAGATCCTTGTAAGGGGCGAAATTGTATACTGATCACGTTGGGAAAAGCATTTGTCTAATGCCGATGCATCATTTGTACTGTACCAAGATTTACTGTTTTGATGTGGCTGTCTATAAATGTTAAAAATTCTTTTTTTGAGTGTTAAATAAAACTTTTTTTTCTAAAACCGACCATAAGATTATGGAAACTTATAAATTTAATAAAAATGATTAATAAGATATAGCTTTATACCCTTTGGATCAATGCCAGTAAATGTGTTATTTCTGGGTAATGATGTACATAAATTATTCTGTTTCTGTCCTTTATGTTGTCATAGATGTAAGCAAGTAGTATTAAAAGTTATTGTTGTCACAAATATATAATAACGAAAATATGAGGTGTATTATGTCATACAATTATTTATCATGTGATGTGAACAAATTAAATGTTTGTTTTAAAATTTGCTGTTATATCAAATGAGATGTAATGTATTTGTGTTACAGATACAATGCCAAGAGACGTCACTGAAGAAGAACAAAGCTGAAGATGTCAAGAGTTTCCTTCAATCCAGTCCACAATCTGTTGTTTGCTATTTAAAGAGACACTTTCTTATAATGCATTATCATTTCTGCAAAGTACCAGTTATTTCCTAACATTATAATTGAATTCTGTTTGCTATGTGCATCGTTTGTATCAAATAAAGATTGTGGGAAGAATTATTTTACTTGTTTTTGATCAAAGGCATCGTTTATTAAATGTGTGATTAAAATTATGCTGTTACCTAGCTTGATTTTTCAAATAACAGACTTTTAGTGGAGCTACAGTAACCATTAAACTTTAATCCTTGTGCAGGCTGGTTATAGTTTAAGATGCATTTTCATATCTCCACATTCAATTGAAGGTAATCACTTGAAATATCATGCTTCTTTTGACATTATAATCTTTAAAGCTGCATGCCTACAGATGAGCCGAAATATTCCAAGAAAATTAAATTTGAATGAAGATTTTAAGAAAAACAGATAAAAGATTCTAGTGATAATTCATATGTAATTCTTATGTGAAATTAACGACTGATTTTTGTGTCGCCTTGAAAAGGCCACATATAGTGGTTACTTTTGTTGGCGTCAACCCGTAAGGCTTGTCCGGAGTATAACTCGGTCACTATAAGTCGGATTGACCCCAAACTTGGTATGCATGCTTTTTCAATGACCATAAGTGCAGTGCACAAGAATCGTTACTCTGCGCTTCTTTATTTTTGAGTTATTGCCCTTTGTTAATTTTAAACTTTATTTAAACTCATAACTCTGTCTTGCCTAATTTTGGAGTTATTGCCTTTTATTTATTTTTACACTTTGAACTTTCCAGGACATTACTCTTAAACTATAAGAGATAACAACATGAAACTTTGTTGGTAAATAGATCTCATTGAGTAGAAGTGCAGTGCAAAAGAAACATAACTCTGTCTTGCCTTATTTTGAGTTGTTGCCCTTTGTTCATTTTAACACTTTGAACTTTGTCCGGGACATAACTCAGAATTATAAGAGATATCAACATGAAATTTTGTAGGTAGATAAGTCTCATTGAGGTAAAGTGCAGAGTAAAAGAACCATAACCCTATCTTGCCTTATTTTAGAGTTATTGCCCATTGTTAATTTTTACACTTTGAACTTTGTCCGGACATAATTCTAAAACTATAAGAGACATCAACATGAAACTTTGTAGGTAGATAGATTTCATTTAGTAGAAGTGCAGGGCAAAAGAACAATAACGCTGTCTTGCCTAATTTTGGAGGTTTACACTTTGAACTTTGTCTGGGTCATAATTCCAAAATTATAAGGGATATCAACGTGAAATTATGTGGGTAAATAGATCTCCTTGGGTAGAAGAGGTCAAGATCACATGATATAGAGATCGAAGTTCAATTCTAACAGACCCGCATTTTTCCCTTTTGAACATAGAAGAACCGAAAGTATGTGTTATTATGCTATAAAATCACTGTTTGACGTTCTATATTTAGACATGTGACGTAATCATTATACACGTGACGTAACCACTAAAAATGTGACGCGCTGACAAATAAGTACGGAAACAAATCAGGCGCAATTAAGCTAATTATAATCAACGGCAGCATTTATTTGTTGATGTCGTGTTATAATCGAAATGATATATCCAAATCGGTGATTTTATTGCTTGATAACATCACTGTTTGTCGTTCGGATGCGCATCATTATATCGCTCGGGCTACGCCCTCGTGATATAATTCCCCGCATCCGAACTCCAAACAGTGATGTTATTGAGCAATAAAATCACAGTTTGGGATATATTATTTCTTAAATAGAAATATGACAAAGTGTATAGGGATTATATCACAAATGGTCATTATCATAACAACATATGTGACACTTGTAAGATTGGTGAATATATGCAAGGGCAAGTTCACTGAAAATTAAGAAACATCCAGATTTTGTCCAGAACATATCTTCTACATGCTTGGAGGGATTGTCATGAAACCTCATAGAAATGTTTACTTCTATGAGATGCTATGACTGCCCATGAACCAGGTATATAGGTCAAAAGTCAATGTCATATACAGGGGTAATTGAAAAAGGCTTGTCTGCAACATGATTTCTAATTGCATAAAGGGATTTTAATTTAACTTAGTACAGATGTTCATTATTTGAAGAGTGAAAGGCGCAAAATTCAGGTCCCAGCGGCTAAGGTCAAGGTCACACATGGGAGTAAAAGTTAAAATAAAAAATAATGAAGAGGTTTATAGGAACCATTAAGTCATTATTTATTGAGTGATTATAACACAAATGGTCTATGGGCCATGGCGGGACTTGTTTTTTTAGGTAAATTTTTATGCAATTCAAGTCCCAAATTTTTGGGTGTCGGAAAAAAAAAGGAACAAAAAAAAGGGTTTATGGTTTTGGGGTATATATTTTTTTTTCCCCTTTGCCCAAAATTTTTGCGGTAAACCCCTGTTTTTCAATTCATTTTTTGGAAACCCAATTGTCCCATAATCAACTAAAAATTTTTCCCATTTTTCCAGAAAACAGGTTTTTACATGTTCAACTCTTTATGAAAAAGATTGTTTCTGGGGAATACGCAGGTAAATTTTCCCTTTTTTTGGCCATTGTTCATGTTTTTTGAAAATTTTTTAAAAAATAAGACATTTTTTTAAATTTCCTTTTCTTTATCTCCTCAGCGTTTGCACATTAAAAATAAAAGGGACATAAGGATACGTCAAAGGATTATACGCATACCAAAATTGAATTTGGTCATGGTTCGATAAATGCCAATCTTGTGTCTTTTTTCGTTGATAAATTGGAATGACTTTTCATATGAACTAAAACTAATTATCTATATATTTCCTTAAACCTATTGCTAAGATAGTAAGATAATGTAGACGTGTAGGACTGTTAGGCTTAAAATAAACTTATGTTTGTTTCCCCTTCCCGACCCAATAAAATTAGGGGTTGGTAGGTAGGAAAATTATTTTATTTATATGTGCATAATAAAAAATAATTTGCATATATGTATGTATAACTACTAAAATTAATTCATTAAGTGTAATAGTATATGTACATGCATTACCATATTCACAACTGACATATGCAACAATTTATTAAAATTTATTAACTATGCTAGCTGTCTAAAATATCATATTAGATTGTACCTGTGTTGTATTCTGAAAGAAAACATATACTTCCATTCCCTTAGAACATGAACAAATCTGTTTTTCTTTTTTTTTGGTAAGGGCAAATTTGTTCGGTAGGTAAGGAAGGGGAAACAAATTAAGTTCTACTTTAGGCCAACGTAGAAATGACAATATGCTGGATAAATCAATCTCAATATCAATTCATTCGTTAGTCCTTTAACAAGATTGTCTTGTTGTTCAATAGTCTCGATTTGGATTAAAAAAAGTTTCATACTTGTCACTATTCAACCTTTATTATAAAAAGTTATCTCATATATACATGTCCTTACAAATATATTCAAGGTACATAAGTGCAATATCAAATATTAAGTAAATGACTCGATGAAGAAATAAGCAAACATACAAACTTATAAATTTAAATAAACAAAAGTAGATAAGCGATGCATTTTTCGTTTGGTTCCCTGTTTATCAAATTTTTATTAACTAACTTGGCAAACACTCGCATTTGTAAACATGTATCTTGTCTTCACTACCACCAACAATAAGTCTACATCTTTCTCTGTCGAAACGCATAGACTGCGAAAATGAAATATTTAATGGCACGTTATCTGCAGTCCGATACTTTTTTCCATTATAATCCAGCTGATGAACGTTGTTTGCTGCATCTAATACAAGAACAATACCTTCACCAGCCATACATATATCATGTAAGCGATAACCGTCAAATTGTTCGTTGAATAAATGATTTCCATTGGCATCTATTGTAGTTAGATCGGTATTTGCCTTGAAGTAGAGTCGTTCCCCATTGTCACTTATAGCAATTGAGTGTCTGTAGAACCTGTCCAGATTGTCACAATAATGATAGAAAACTTGCTTTTGTTTACAGTTTTTGTCATATGTGTAAATTGTGTCTCTACTGCAAATATAGAGTGTGTCACCGTGACAAGCTAGATCGTGACATCCATGATCTAGCTTCACTAAATGTCTTAGGTTTATCTTACCTGACACATTTACGTACTGTATGGTATTGCCTCTTAAACCAGCAACAGCTGTATCATTGCCTATATAACATACAGTATAGGGAGATTCAGGTACATCACAGTGACTTATTACTGTGTATGAACTGTTCAACTTCTTCAGTCTTTTATTGTTTAAATCAGCAAGGAGAACTTCATCATTAGGAAGCATACACATACTAGTGATAATACACTCATATTGATCATTGTTGTCTCTATTTATCAAAGTATTATCTATCCTAACGTTATAAGATCCTTTTATACTTTTGATGTTGAGACGACGTTTCTGTTCAAAGTAAGACCTTTCAGATATAACTTGTTTTATTCCAAGACATGTGCTGTATAAATAGAAAAGCAATTATTTTTGACACAATGTCAATTTATGATTATGAATACAAAAATATATCACAAAAAAAATCGACAAACACTAGCTATACAATCATCTTGCATAGTGCAGAAAGTTCTATGGACTTTTACACTAGTTTTAATGACATGACTTTAATTATAGACATTTTTTTAAAACATAGCTAACATTGCAATATGACGTCTGTGTATATACGTTGTGTATATATGCTTCAGCTGAGACCCACTTGAAAGATTGGAAAACCAAATGTGTAAGCCACCTTAAATAAATAAAGTCCTTACTTACAAACTAACAAACAACAGGTTAATTTCAAATTAAATTAACTATGAACAATAACTATGAATACAATATGTATTTAAAGGGCGTGTATGTTAAGATTTGAACAAAGACAATAACTGTGGAAGGGAACATTTGCCAGTATATTTAATATGCCTTGTGACATTACAACTGACGTTTTCTAATGATTTAAATTACTATTCGAATATCATTGTTGTTTCCTGAATAAGTAATGTATATCTATTAATAAAAATAGGTCGCTCATTGTTGCCGTTTACAATGATTTCTCCCGCTCGAGAGGTATCGGTGCCATCGATAACTAGCACAGGCAGTCGGTGTGTGGCTTGGATAGTATACATGTACATGACCACGCCTACTTATTTTTATAAATATTTTTTTTTTTCACTAATAAAATATTTTTTCACTTGTTTTTATAATAAATTGTTTTCAATAAAACAACAAAGGAAAGTTGTTTTTAAAAATTTCATCCATAATATTTTATAAATATGGTAAAGGTAGAAAGGTTCGCCACCAGGCTTTATTTTACCTCCGAGATCTTTGTTAATTGTAAACCAACCAATTTTCACCAAATAAAGTGTAATCTACGCAAAAATGATTTATATTTCGACAAATGTACAATATTAGACCAGTTTAGTTAGTACGACAAAATATGGAATTTTAAAGCGAAAATGCACTTTTTGTCTAGGTCGGACATCGCTTGACCGAGCGGTAAGAAGACGATTTAATTTGAACATTAATCGATTTTTTTCTTAATAAAAAAAAACAATGTCAGTGCATGCAAACAGTTGAAACAGAAAAGGCAGGTATAATACTATCGCTTACCGGTCCAAATTTAATCCAAGACGTCTGTAGGTAGGCTGTAGTTATTTGCAGTTAACTTTTTTAATTTTCCCACATTACATGTATACAAATCCTGACCCGGATATAGGCCTACCTGATGCGTACCCCGTTTCGCACAGTCAAGATTGAGCGAAGCTCGGTAACAGCCCGAGATTAACAGACATAAAAAGTACATATACACATGTATGACAGACAGAAAACGGTTATTGAAATTCTGTCCCACGAAGACATTTCTGGATTTATGCATACACATTCTATCAATTTATATTGCACGTGTAAAACTGACTGTACGTTTATACAATATAAATTTCATATATAATCGTATGCACTTGTATTTGGGGAAAACTAGTTCCACACCTAATTTCGATTAATTTCTGGTATTAAATCATTTTTAAAGCGCTCAGAAATATGTGTTGAATTTGCCAAAAACTGGTGTATAAAAAGAAACCAGCCGCTATTATAACCAAATGTATGAACACATTATTTGTACCTATAATTCTGTAAGTTTCGTGTTTATTTATAAGCATATGTGCAAAAGGTCTGCCCCTTCCTTCTATCAATTGCTAGTTTGTTAACTGAATGACAGACATATTTGTATAAATTGACAACCTTTACGTTTCTTAGAAATTGCGACAACCAAGACAAGCGGCGATATTGAAATGTATGTATTTATGGAAAACCGTAAGGTCTACGTGGTTATACGACGGTCCGATAATGCGACAATGCGATAATGTGATGGCGATATAGAGAATAATAGGTTGGTGCCGTGGATGGAGAAAGTTTATCTGGCGAGGCGGAGGAATTTATTGGGTGAACCTTTAATCACACTATCGGAAATGCTTCTATATAAACAAAGAAGGCCCGAAGCGTGCATTATTCTACATTCTAACACTCACGTGACTTTGTCACTATAGACAAAGAAGGAAAAAAACTGGTGTTAAACTGACAATAAACACCGGATAGGGACTACTTGTATATGCGCTGTTATGTTTTCACCCTCGATTGTATAGTTAACAAAGCATTTTAAAGCAACAATAAAAAGCATTTTTATTTATATTTTCAGTTCTTATAATGTTTTCTTTTCATACAATACCGAAATAATATCTCACATACACTAACGCCACATATTAAATCCATATCAGTTAATAAATACTTTGACAAAACGGCGCCAATCCGTAAGCAGCGTAAATGACGTCATCCTAAGTAAACAACTCATTCATAAACAAGCTGACGTTATTTCATACATACAAGAATGATAAATGGGGCACTGATGTAAACACGATACGACGTAAGTTTTAATTGTTGAAAACTTGATAAAATAACGTTTCTTTTCCTTATTATTTCTTTTGTTTGATAATTTCTATATCTTCGCAACAGTAGGGTGCGAAAATCGAACAGCGTTATACGAAAATCGGCACCGGAAGTTATTTCCGCTTGTAAAATAAGTTTAGTGATTTTCCTTATTTTATCGTGTTAGAATCGAAATAACATCGGGCTGAGAGGTGTATATCGGCTATTTAACACCGGTTTTGTCGTTTTGATGCGACAAAATTAACCACTCAGGCCTACGGCCTTCGTGGTCAATTCCTACGCATCAAAACTCCAAACCGGTGTTAAATAGCCGATATACACCTCTCAGGCCGATGTTATTTCTTAAACAATGCACTCGCCGTTCTTATTATCTCCCTGTGTATTTTCACATTGAGGGCGCCATTTTGTTTGAAAAATGTGATAAATAAAAACAATTTTTTTGTCGAATTTTGTTGTGAAAACTATCTAGAATGAAAGAAAATGGTCTAACTAAGAAAATGAATTCGAACACCAATATCTTTTATTCAGTCGTTAACGCGGTACAGACGTTTAAAGTGTTGTTTACGTGACGTCACAATGTAGCGCCAAACATCACGTGCAAAACAATCAAATCAAGTACGCTATTTTAATGTCGCAAACGAGTTAAGTTTTACATTTATTTCACTTTTAATAATTTTTATTTCGCTTGAAAAATTATAGAGTGAAATAAAATAAACAAACAAAGTTTTATCAACGTTTCCAAAATTCGTTATTCTACACACAGAAGATTTCACGACAGTTTTTATATTTTTTCTTGAAAAGTAGTCCGGCAAACCTGCATACCACGTGATCAAGTGCCGTAGATCAGTAAAAATATACGGCACCTTGTTATCGGGACGATATTGATACAAGTGACAGGATAAATTGGACACCGAGGTTCTGCGGTCCTCGTGTAATTATGAACATCGTCGGGCCATTATCGCACAATGGCTAGCAGGGGAACTAAGTATTAACCTCTAAGAAAGATGTTGTTCAAAATCGAAGTGCAAATATTCCTCATGTTCAGAAAATGGTTGTTACTTTCATAAGTTGTACAAATTATCTGCCCTATAAATGAAGGGCCAATTATAGCGCAAACACAAAAAAACCAATGTATTAGTAACTAAATTACACAGAAGGCTGTTGATATGATGTTTGAATCATAGGTGCATCGCATGATGTTAAAGAGCTAATTTTGATTACTGATAAGATAATAAATTTTAATAATAATAATCATGCATAGTTTGCATGTTTTCAAAATAAAATGAATAAGATCAGTTTCAAGAATAAAAACATGTATAAAAATGTGAAAACAGCAATAACAAGCTTCAAGGGATACTCAGGCAAAATAATGGCAAAAATATAAAAATGATTTTCTGTACTCAAATCACCCTAAAATGACATTTCTTAAAGTCCCAACATGAATTTCTGTATAAATTCTATATATTTTGGGTTTGAAGTTTAAATATATCTATATATGTTGAACGAAATTTTGACGCGAACAGAATCACCGAATAGTTTAAAAACAAGTCATGCGATTTGAACAAACCCTGGAAGTTACAATAACAAATATTGTGGATATTGTATGATTGAAACAAGTCTAAGTAATTGATTTGACATGTTTTTTAACGTTTCCAGAGTACAGAGTGACAACTATTGTGAAATTTTAGCGCTCTAACCTGACCCACGCGGGTCAAGTTAGGAAAACACCATTTTATTCTTTATATGGAGAAAAGTTTTGTTCCTTTGACTGTTTAGTGTATTCATTTTGAGGACATTTACAGAATATTGAATGAAAATTTCAAAACTAAGAAATGAAAATTTTGCCTGTGTCTCCCTATAATAAAAAATTTGGTAAATTGTAAAGAATAAGCATGTCAGAATATCACAAAATAAAAGACAAACCAGTGGGTAATCCTTTTAATAAATACCTTGCACCTTTTCAGGAATTAAGGTATTATTCTAATTAAAAGTTAACTGTTAAATAAATACAAAGAACTATAAGCAATGCTGGAATTTGCCGATATAAAACATTTTGTTAGCTTTGTTTGTTTGTTTGGTTTTACGGCGTACTGGTCAACCCAGTTTAGGTCATATAACTCCGGAAACAGAAAGGGATAATTTTGGCTAACCTCGGATGCTACAAACGTCAAAGCAACAACTGGGGTCAAAACCAAAAGAAACTATTTAGTCGCCCACTGTATCTCAGTGTAGACCAAATGATACATCAGCCAATCGCTATAACGAAATGACTTATTATTCTGCCAACACTCGAATATTTATCAAAGGTGATGACTATAATATATTTCATTCGTCTTACTTATCAAATAAATTGAAATTATTTCAGAATGCTAAAATGAGGAATCTAACACTATTGGAATTTTTTCTACATAAACAAAGAAAGCCCGAAGCGTGCATTATTCTACAACAATGCACTCGCCGTTCTTATTATCTCCCTGCGTATTTTCACATTGAGGGCGCAATTTTGTTTGAAAAATCTGATAAATAAAAACAATTTTTTGTCGAATTTTGTTTATGAAAACTATCTAGAAAGAAAGAAAATGGTCTAACTAAGAAAATGAATCCGAACACCAATATCTTTTATTCAGTCGTTAACGCTGTACAGACGTTTAAAGTATTGTTTACGTGACGTCACAATGTAGCGCCAAACAGCACGTGCAAAACAATCAAATCAAGTACGCTATTTAAATGTCGCAAACGATTTAAATTTTACATTTATTTCAATTTTGATCATTTTTATTTCGCTTGAAAATTATAGAGTGAAATAAAATAAACAAACAAAGTTTTATCAACGTTTTCAAAATTCGTTATTCTCAAAATGTTTCTACACACGAAAGATTTGACGATAGTTTTTTTCATACCACTGGAACAGCCTTTAAAGAACGTTTCTATTGGAAACTCTGAGGCGTAAACAAATTTAACCACCAAACATAAAGTCCAACATTATAATAATAATTATATTTTTTCTTGACGTGTTAGAATGGAAATAGATATTAATTCTTTGTGCATTATTGTATAATAATGCACATTTTTCGTTCAAATGCTTTGTAATTAATCACTCAGGCCTATCGGCCTTTGTGATTATATTACTACGCATTTGAACTCAAACCGTGCATTATTCTACAACAATGCACTCAGAATTGATATCTATTTCCTAAATAAAATTAAAGTGTCAGGTCAATAAAAGTGTCAAATGATTATTTTTGTCAAACTATAAATTGTTCTAATGTGTTTACAATTTTTTAAGTGAAATCAAACTTAAATGTTTCTGACAGATAAGTTGTCAGTCATTGTTGCACGATTTTAAAATTCGTTTGTTTAATTTGATACCTTTTGTACCGTATTAACCACTATAAATAACTGATTGTAAGAAATGTATAATTACCCATGTCTTGATTCCCTGCATGCTGTACATAAAAACGTGTCATGGTCAGGACAATAGAGAGTACATTGTGTATTTTGATGTTCGGAACAAGTCAAAGTTCTGGTTACGTCAGTAAAATCTGAAGACAGTAGTTTTACGTTTTCAAATATCTGTACATGTTTTTGTGTTTACAGAATAAAAAATATCAACGTTTTAAGTTTTTCAATAATCCTTAGATATCTTAACGATATTGAGCAAACAAATTTTTAATTAATTTTGATTAATCAATCCATTAATACTATTGATATGCACTGATTACAATTACAAATGCACTAACATGAGCAGAAAACACTGTTATGTTTTTTTTCAGGCCCCACATGGGGTAACCCATTTAGCCGCTTCGTCACATAACCATTTGTGGGTCGAAGCACATCCCACAGTGGTTTTACAATTATTTATTTTCATGCATATGAACGAGTATAGTTACCAGATGTGAAACCAATGTAATGAAAGAAAAACAACAATTACAAAAAAAACAACAAAAAAACACACACACACAAACTGACAACAAGAACGACACATGCATTCACACTCGCACTCATAACCGTACTTTTTAAAAGAAAAATAGTTTCAAAAGCATCAGCATTATATAAAATCATATGCATGCTATTTTAGCTTAATTTATTTCTTAATTACTTAAACTCAAAACAATACTTTTCACTTGAACACTGTAAATTGTAAAAGGTATCATATATCATTATTGCTCATATTTCACTTACGCAGACGTTGCTTTGCTTTCTCTATGCCATTTGATGAGCAATTAGCCATTATGTCATACGATTCAATGTCATATTGCACTTGTAGCCATCGTCTAAGGTCAAACAGTTTTTGTTGAAATTCGTTACCGATGATAGACTTGAGAAAATCTTCCATGGCATTCGAACTGAGGCAGTTGATTTGTATATCTGTTGACGAATGATCAGTGGGAGAAATATCAACGATACGGCATTTCTTTATGGCCTTGATGAAATCTACGAGTTGATAGACTGGTGTATCAGTTGATTTTGCATCCAAAGACGAACCAGTAATATCATCTTTGTCTTTCATATAGTCTCTTATTACCTCATAAAGTCGTTGATTCCCTTCAGCATTTCTTTCACCATTTTTAGCAATAACTTTTATCTGTAGATCAAGCAAGAAGTGCTCTGAAAATAAAAAAAAAACATAATAGAGAATTAATGCACGGTTTAACGTGCATCAAAATATGCAGATGTTAATGCACGCACAAATAGTGTATTAGCGCTATTCTCAAATAAGTTACATTTGCGATTCGTTATTTTTTTCCACATAAATGTAACACAGGTTTCTTCATGCTTTCCCGATTATATCCGTTATTCATGGTGCCATTAATCATGCATATTAAAAAACAAAGTGCATTCTTGCGTTATTATATCTGTAAAATCATGTTTCTGTCTTCGTACGTGCGCAGTTTTTATGCAAGAACAACAAGGAAAAGATAGAAAACAGGCATTTTGACTATGAATTATTGATGTTTTTCAAATATAGCTAGTTTAACTTACATTCTCATTTTAGTTTTGTATGAAAAAATAATAATGTTCTTTATCTGTTTTCCTTTTGTCTTCTGTTCATTTTTAACAAGTCTGTATTGATAAGAGTTTTGAATTTTCATTTTTTTCATTTAGTACCTTTAAGATTTTTTTGTTTTTCTGCAGATCTAAGATAAAGCATAAGCCCAAGCTCATTTTCTTTATCTGTAAATAAAAATACAACTTGAGCAATAACGGAAATTTATGAAAATGATATTCAATAATGCTAAACAAGAGTATATGCGTATCCTATTTTTAAGTAATTCCGCATGTTTATAAAATTGGAAAATTACATTTTTAGACAAAACGTTTTGCAAGATAATTTTGACACACCAACACGTTTGTGTTTTTTAACTTTTAAACAAGAACAACACTGTTTCTTTTCTGTTCAAAGTTACAAGGCTTTTAAAAGAAAAAGTCTGCAAACTGTGGAATGTTTTCTATTTATTTGTTTATTATTTTTTTTTCTCTTTTGATTGTTTATTTTTTATAGAAATAAAGACTTTTTATAAGAAAATGTTTCTTGCATAAACTTTTTTATAGTGTCAAATTCTCAAACCCCTCTTTCCTGATATATGTCTATCAAACGTCATTTTCAGTTTAAAGTGTGGTTCTATTTGTAGCTTCATTTTCTTTAAATTCTTCTTTCTCTTTGTAGCTATTTATATATTTTTTTCAGAGCATATCAGTATAACATATGTTTAAAACCTTATATCAATTATGGATAATATTACTGTTTTGTCAAATCCAACAGTTCTATCATAAAAAGGAAACAATTTATGAATTTGTGCAATTTAAGGGAATAAATGTAATTCTTTTCAAACGGATACAGGATTTTTGAAATTTACCGTTACGTGTATCTTGATAATTCTTATGTTTGATTTTAAATCATAGTCTAATGACCTAGTAGAATTTTCGTATAAGGACAGGCTCTTATTTGTTCAAATTAAAATTCAAGGACAAACCTTTTATCTGTTGTTCTATCAGTTGAAGTTTCAATTCATGCTGAAGAAAAAAAAATAAAGTGTGGCATCATATAAATTATTCGAACCATTCGCTTATCATGCATAATCATTACGAAGAATGTACTAAGTTTTAATTATATCTATTTTGGTAATATTCATTTAATTCCTTATTTTCTAAAACCAAAGATAAAACTAACAGAACACTGGAATAGTTCGGATACCACCGTCTAAATACTATATTTGTTTACCTAGGATAGAAGACAGTAGTTTAGACCTGACCACAAAGTATATTGACGTAATAACACTTTCATGTCATTCAAAATTGAACTCCTTTCCATTACTAATGAATGTTATGTTCAAAAAATCTAAACGAGGCTATATATTCAAGCGTGCATGATGGTTAACAGAGAGACATTTAACAATGACAGGCAAAAGGCATATGTTTAACATCTTTCTCAGTAATGATTCGTATACAATAAACAGACTAGCAACTTTAGAATCGCAGTATTGTTAAAATACCTTTTGAACTTATTATCCATTGTATTAGACTTGAAAATTAATATTGCTTTACTTTATTATTGCCTTACTCGGTCTGAAAACATGTAATAGCAATACTCTAATGCGTTTGCTGTAAAAACTTGCCTGTTTTTGTGCTGTTTCGTATTTCTCTTCTAATCTAGACATCCCATGCTCTCTCAGCTGTCTCACCTCATGTTCAAGGTTAATCTCAATCTGATTTTGTTGCACCTGTAAGAAATTTATGATAGGACTCCGGTGAAGAATTCGTCTTTTTCATGCAATACAAAAATGTCAGAATCCTTTTTATGCCCATTTTTTTATAAGAATGGAAAGACCTTTAGTATCACTTGAAATAAAAAAAAGTACTACAAGGGACGGTCAAAATGAACTTAAGTTTTTCAAGGTTAATTTTTTTAAATAAACTACCGAATTAGTTACATGTAAAAAGCTTTGTTGATCATTTTTTTTTACATTCTGTTTTGTTGCAATCTTGTTAATACTCAAACAATTGACTGTGTATATGTGTGAAAAGCCTAGAATTAACGAACTCACGTTTGCAAGATGATACAGATTGATCCATTACAATCTCACAACAGATAAAGTTATTGTACTTACTATTATAGTCAATAATGCACTAACTATTATAGTCAATAAACGTGTTTCACAATAATGCAAAAGGACCTGACGTATTATTACAAATTATATGTAATATTGTATTGCAAAATAAGTAGTTTAGAATTTAGAAATTGCTTATAATAAGTATATTTTGCAAGAAATATTTCAAAATGGATCAATTTATTCTTAATTGATACATTTAGAAAGAAATACGATTTATTACATAAAGAACCAATACAATGTATCTCAATTCGGCTAATTATGTCTT